GCATATGCGATGACATGTTCGTGAGCGTCTTAAGTCCGGACTGAGCGCGGGTCGCAAGCTTGCGGGTCGCGTCCTGTGTTCGGCTGGTAGGGCATCCGAAGACATCTGATAGACGGGTCTTGAATGCGTCCCACGAGGCTATCTGATCTTTGTGGCTAGGGATCTTCGGAGAAGCGTTGTGGTTATTGAGCGAAGAGGCGCAGGGGATGCACCTCCACCAAAATGTTACGATGTTGTCGTTGAAGGAGTAGCCAGTCTCTGTCGGTCGGCTTTTATTTTGGAACTGCCGGGCTCAGCTCGAGCTGTCGCGCGCCCTAGCCATTTGTCTAGTGCGCTCTTTTTCTTCATCTATATAACAATATATATAACATTATATATATATAATGTTAAATATATATATAACTAATTATTAATTAGTTTGAGACGAAACTATAGGCATCGAGAGTATCTCAGAAACGACACAATATAAGCGCGAACCTGTAACCCTTAAAACTGAATTCAGAACTTGATTTTCAGACCTCTCTTGTTACCGAATAGCACAACCAATGTTGCCATTTGAAATCAAAAATTATTCACCTTCGGCGACAGTCAGTCACCAATATTTCTTTACATTTTGGAAAAGGGCAAGAATGGTCTAAGAGGAGCAACATGTAACAGCTGTAGGAAGCCCCGAGGTATCGTTTCAGAAATGGTATTGGTTGCATATCATGTCTCGTTAATATGAAGCGTCCGTCTCCCCTAAAGAAGCGTCCATAATGTGAGCTGTTCATATTATCAACACAAAAATGCATGTATGTACCCAGTTCTTCTCCGAGAATGATGTCTATACAGCGAGGCATCTATTTTATTGGGGTTCGATGAACGACATATGAGTGTAACATGAGACGCGTATAAAGCGTAGAAAAAGTACACAAAGATAAAACAAAATGGTGTAGAGCTTTACAGTTTGGTCCCTTTCTCGTAACAGCCACGTGAATACTTGCACGGAAAACGACCTCTGATATAGCACACCTTCGCTCACGTCGTAAAATTAGATAAGAAAGCCTTAACACGGACGAGGATGACAACCTGGGTAAACAAGTTTTTTTCTTCCTTTTTTATATTAGAACACATGATCGCTTTCGTTCTCACAAATGCAGGCTTGGCGAGCAACTAAACCATAAAGAGAGTCGCGAGTTTGCTCCCGAAGCCGCAATAGGGCTCCATCTTCGCATCTGTACCGACCACTCACGAAGTGTTGCACCAGTGGTGGTCGCGCAAATGAGAGATTGTCGGCAGCCATGAATATTAGGTTTAGTGCCCATATCTATTCGAGCCTAGCTCCCTTTCTTTCCCTCCACAACAACGAGCCAACGCGTTCGGTGAAATCTTTGGAATTTCCTTTCTTGAGCAGCGTCCAGCACAACGCGCTTCAGTCGCTCATTGCGATGACCGAGATGAGTCTTCAGTCACCGACAGTTGAAATGCAGGGCACAGCGAGTCCCTGGAATCTCTCTATAACTCCCTAGTCTACGAGATTGCGGCTTTTGCCGTTAGAAAGGCCAAAAAACAAATCGCGCGAAGCATAAAACATGAACAGAGCGATCCCCGCCAAGCTTTTGGTAAGCTGACCGTGAAAGACCGACCAGATCCAGGGAATGTCTTTCTATACATACGCGACTTGCCATGTATTTTGAACGCGTGGGAGACGTCGTGCTCGGCGTCGCGGAACCGATAGCGACATCGTACCCGAACTATGTGTTATCTTGTTGCCCGGTCGTTTCGCTGGGCTTTTTTCCGTTTATTGCTCTGCCTCGCTCCACGTGTGTGACTTGCGGGGAAGTACATTCACTACACGTCCACCGCCAGCCTCGTCAGACAAATATTTTTTCGGACGTCTAACGTTGACAGTGCAGTCTCTAGAAGAAAAATAAATATTTAAAAGGGAGCGTGTCCAACACGGCGGCTGCTTGCGCACAAAACGCCATTGGTGGCGGCACGGGACTTGAAACCAGGATGAAAGTTTCGTCTTCGGCAATAAAAAAAATCACAACTGTCACGACTCCAGTTTCCGTCCTGGCCGAACGTAAGCACAGGTTGTTTTGTTATTGAAAGCCATCGGGTGAGACTAGCCCACTCAGACATTCTAGTTTCCGACAGTGTGGTGCCCTCTGATTACACCAAACGGCATCGTGAAAGTCAAAAGGGAAGTAGCCAACAACAAACCGAGAAATACGAGCAGCGATTAGAGCCTGTGAGCACGGGGTCATACATGGCACTCTGGCTGTACTGGTAAATTGCACAAAAGCTGCCGTCTCCGCACTACTACGACTCTATCGCACGAACTGTTTGACGCCCTTTACAGTTCACGTAGCCCTCCCCACGAGTTACGAGCACTGTTGGACATTCATTCGCAACATCTCTCTTCTACATTCTTCGTTTTGCTTCTTTCCGTCCTGGTGGTCCCTTCCCCTAAAGCCAAGTAGCGACTTGCCCCTGAATGTGTGCTCATATATCTCCTGGATGCCTTCTCGCCTACACAATATAATCATAGAAAGAAGCAAAAAGACCGGTCGTTTTCTTTTTTGTCAGTCTCACGCACTGGTTGTCGGCTGTTTATCTCGTTACATCGGCGACAACCACCAGTATTAACACAAATTCCAGTCACGCCTACTATGTACAATTTGTTAGGGAAAGTCAATGTTTTGAGGAAAACGCGCGTTGATGTTTGGAGCAGAAAGGCTGCTGCAGTGGTAATGACTATGGTCACTGCTCCTTGCGGATGATTCCTCTTGCGTAGCGCTTGATAACCTCGCCATCTGGCCTCAGGCGAGAGTTCCGTTTACGACGCTCGCGTCGTATATCCAATCGGGATATTGAAACATTCCAAACACAGGGTCTCCGAGGACGTATGTCACAGCCACCGTCGTCATCACAGTAATCACCTTCGCTAAAAATCCGGGAAGAACCTGAAACATACAAAAAGAAGAAATAGGGGCGATCTTCAATTACAGACTAGTCCGGTGTAACATTTATAGTACGTCAGTGAACTATCTTTTTGTTTGTTATAGTTTTGACCATACACACCCTTACACTTCGTTTCGCTTTAGGTCCAGACGCAACCGACGCTACGGTCTAATGGGACTTATCAGACAGCTTCAAAATCGCACCATCATTGCGTTCGTTATGCTTCAGTATGTGTTCTATCACCGCTGAACCAATCATAAACGGAGAAGGCCCACTGACTTGCGCTTTTCACGCTCCTCGATTGAACACATGAGCTCGTAGCATCGGCTGCGTCTGCACTTCAGCTGAAACGAAGTATGGTCGTTTTCGGGAATCCTAGATATTCACTCCGGATGTCTAAGTTCAAGCAGTTCATCAACAATAAACGTCGTACAAACATTTCTTCTTTTTTATAATTTTCTGGGCACGTTTTCTATTCCTAAAAGTGTGTGAATTTATCTCATACAAAAGGTAACGATTTGGACCCGGTGGGAGCAGTAACGTGGAAAACGACGTGTCAGCAACTCGTGCTACCCTCACCAACTCAAATGGGGCGTTTCAGGCGTTAAAAGTTGCAAGTCCGTCTTTTATATAGCATTGCCGTTTCCCACTTTTAGTGTTACATTTATCGACAGTATGCATACTCAACGTTTGTAGGTGCAACAATGAGAATATTAAAAATGTGCACAAAAGACAACGAGGCACAAAAATTGCTCGATTAATATAAGCAATTTTAGAATTGTGCAAGGACATACGTGCATTGCAAAATACTTTTTCGCCCGGCTCAAGGTCCTCGCTGTGCATCTTCCTCCCCCATATCCTGCCGCCCTCTCCTCTTTGCGCAGGATTAACCCGCACGTCTCGGAGAAAATATCCTAAACCCCCTATACTCGTCTTCATCTCGAGAAAAAAAAATGTTTCGCGCATTGTTTACACGTCGCTCGAAGTAGTTCTTACAAGATTTGATTGTCGGATGAAGGATTCATGCTTTTTGCGTTTGATATGTGGACATCTCAATAAAAGTAACGTATATCTAATCTAATATTCACCTATATATATCACAATTCTTCACATAAAGGGGGAAATTAAACATGCCCCGCAAAAAGCCGGATTTTTTCTTTTTAAACAGTGGTTCTGGAGGTAAACGATGCTGACTTTTTTATGTCTTCAAGTGGGGGTCACTGCGGACCACGTATTGGACACGAGTGCAACGTCATCGTTCGGCTGGACCTCGTGTCCAATCAGTGAGACCACGAGTCCCAGCCCAACGACGACGCAGCACTCGTTTTCCACCTGTGACCCGTCCTGGTCCTCGGTTGCTCACGTAAGAAAATCGGCACTGCGCATCTCTATCTAGGTGGCGCTGCGATACACCGCAGAATGCATGGCGAAATTCGACTTCTTTCGGGACAAAAAAAAAAGTCGACGAACGAAAAATTGAAGGAGGGGGGGGGGGGTGTTTACTCTGTTCTGCTATAAAGTACAGGGTGTCACACAAAAATATACAGGGTTTTTTTTTTTTTTTTTACCGCAAAAATAAACTAGGCATCGCCGGACGCTCATTTTCCGTCCAAAGGTAGCACCAGAGGTCACAACCAGATGCTAAAGTTTCAGCCCGATCCGATACCTTAATCAAAAGTTTTAAGCGATTTTCTGAAATTTTCGATGGGAAAGTGGTGGCCAACGAAGTTTTCGATTACGCGGGGCTCTCTGGCACCAGAAACCGAAAACTGGAAAAAATGGGCTCCATTTTTCCATTGAACTTTTAAGAAAATCACTTATAACTTTTGATTAAGGTATTGGATCCGGCTGAAACTTTGGCATCTGGTTGTGACCTCTAGCGCTACCTTTGGGCGGAGAATGAGTGCACGGCGATGCCTAGTTTCTTTTTGCAATAAAAAAATGCCTATTTTTTTTTTTTTTGGCACCCTGTACACTCCATTTTGCGCGCTGAAAGCACTGTAAATTAAAAGCAGATTTTTTTTTCCTCAGTTAGACACTAAGAAACTACTTGCCATATCAGACAGCTTGAGACGAGCGTGTTCGTACACAATAGCGTTGGCTGGAGTCCCAACCGGAAGCAAAAAAGCAAAATTGCTCGTGATTGTCGCCGGAATCATAAATAGGAGTGGGTTTATTTTGAGTTCCTCTGCCTGAAAGCAAAAAACAGATTTATATCATATTTAACATTCGAAAAGCAATGACTATTTCAGCGTTATCGTGAAACGGAGAAAGGCGAACGGTGACAAAATTACAGACGTCGACAGCTTGAAAAAAAAAAATGGGAGAGGGTGCTCGAGGGAAAACGTCATAAATCATCATGCTGAGCAAATCTGAAACGTACGCGAGAAAAAGAAAAAGGGAGAGTACGGGAACGTTATGTGAATGGGAGAATGCAGGGAGCCACGTTAGCTACTCCACCAGCTGAGGAATCTTATCTGTAGTGAAGGAAAGACTTGGGTGAGTATGTGAGTGCACATTCCTCCAGGTCGCGTAGACAGCCAATCACGATGAACAACGGAAGTGTACGAGCGAATGAAAAAAGAAACTCAAAAATACGATTATATATGAAGAAAGGGAATGTGATCAGTCAATGCGCAAGACGTCTCATGCACTTCCTCGTCGTCCTTGCGCACATCGCATTTGGAAATCGAATCTTATTTTTAGCTTAGTCATTCTCTAATATTCGTGAGTGATTCGCCGTGATTGCCCGTCTTCGTGATCCGCAGAATGTGAACCAACGCGCATTTTGTTCTTAGAATGTAGGAGGGCTTACGGTCGATCCATTGCCTCGGTCAGAATAGGCAACCTGCAATGCTGTTTAGTTTGGCGCTCTCTAGCGACTGAAGCAAGAAACATTGGGTATGCCTGGGAGTGGCGGCTGAGTTGTTTAAACATGAACTATTGCTTTGGCGGCGCCGCTTAGCCTAGTGTCTGAAGCAAGAAATACTGGGTAATCTGGCCAATCGGAACGTGGCCACGTATCACCAGAGTGCGCTTTTATTGCGAAGAAGCATCATGCTCCAATATGTAAGCGTTGCGCTCGCATACGCAGAGCATATTGAAGCCGTTGGCACGCAATGTGGGGATTATCGTTTACCGTTTCACAAGTTACAACGAGACAGGGTATAACCGTGGGCTCTCCCCCTGCTGGCCCCGCCTGGCTGTTGCCGTCTGGCTATTACATGCGTAGGGCAACCAGAAGCCATCGAAAGCTTGCGCAGTACCGATTCCGGTCAGGCACGAAAGCTTGTGGGGACGACGACGCTCATATTCAAGCTGATAACAACGAGACACCCGCCAAAAGATGAACGCGAAGGACGCCAATGCACGGCGTGGGACAAATGACAGTAGCCCCTACAAAATATTAGGTAAAAATCAGTTTCTCACGCCGCCGTCGCTGAAAGCTACGCCAGGTGTGGCATGTCTGGAGCATTTCATTACAGACCCGTACCAGATCCAATTGAATGGCGCGATTCGCCAATAAAACACACCGAAAAACGAATCACAAAGCACGGAAAGTGAACATCACACATTCATTCATTATGTCCCCGGAGTTTTAAGTCACTAAAGTCATTATTTGGGCACAAAAGTGCAGCTATTATGTCTCAAGTTTACCTAAGCGTCCATTATTCGCCATCAATGATATTTAACTAGAAAGGCCAGAGTTCGCTTACGAGTCAAACATCTCTGAACCTCAGCATTTGTTGCGTGCGTTCCGTGCATCGGAATCATCGGGCTATCGTGTTTTCTGTACAGAAGTGATCGTGAAAACCTTTCTTTTTTAATGGCGGAGGTACAAAAGCACAAAAGTATGGGCCGAGCGAGGATGCGAGCGATTCGTCTCCTAATTTTAGGAACTCTAAGACAGGCAAATGTATTAGGTTAAGACCAAGTTTACCATTGCGGCAAACACAGGTAGAAGTACGGTGACGGTTCCCGCATTGCTGATGAGCTCCGTCATGAAGGAGCAAAATATGGACAGGGCCGCCATGAGCAGACCGGGGGAGAGGTGCGCTAGCCTCCCCAGATGTTGCCCTATCAAATGAGATAAACCGGACACCTGCAACATGCAAAAAAAAAAAAAATATTTATTAGGCAAAGACCTTCATTCCTTATGCCAGTAGGATTTAAAATAATCCTAATTTTTAGCACATATTTTGTTTTTCTGGGTGAACATTTTTTTGTGTTGTTTAGAGATACATTTTAATACATTTTAGTTAAAACTTATAGACAGGCGAAATTCGCTTGTCTAAGGCATAAAGTCGCCTATCATTTGGGCGTAATTTTCATTGCAGAAAGGAATGAACACTTAACTTTAAAAAAAAATATTAAAACGACGACTGGAATGTGCGTGTCAATTTAAATGAAACGACCGCGTGGGTGACGCAATCAGATATAACGGAAGACAACATGGAAGAGAGGAGAATAGAGAAACAAATAAAATATTATTCTGTCATCCGCTCTCTTATACTTCCCTCCGTGACCTGCGATTGAATGCATTGCCTATCTCCTGCCCTCCTCCGCTGTCTCCTTATATTGCCGCGAGTGATGCCAACTCGGACAACCGCGTGCATGGCCGAAATGGCGTCGCGCAAGGCTCTCTCTCACTCGAAAGCACGGGGTTCGGACTTTGCCAGCCTAGTTTTTGTGTTTTATAATTCGCGACTGTCCTTGAACGTTCTAGTAGAATCTCATAACGTACCGCCTGTTTCTATGCAGAATCTTCTAGACTACGTAGTTTGCATAAAAGAAGCTGAGACTGCAGCAACACCTAGACCGTCGCCCGCCCGTCGCCAACGCAAGATTCGCGTTACTTTGTAGGTAAAAGTTCGCCTGATTAAACGCCTATTTTCACTTTTACATTCCTCTATCATTTGCTCATTTGCCATCTCTTAAAATATGACAAATAAAACTTCGTGCAATCTTTGCCAAAAGTTTAGAGCCTTCCGCGCGCGCAGCCGTAGCGAGCTCGCTTCCGTGCGGCGGCGCTGCAATCGTCGCTATTCGCAAGCTGTGAGGTTTTCGAGAATAAGGGGGAACTTCGCTCCTGGAGTCGCGCTCACTGTTACCGCGTCTTTTTCCCCTTGATTTCTCAGACATAGAGCGCGTAATAAACAGACCTGAGCAAACAAATGTTCTCCTTCGCTTGAAAACGTAATTTGCGAAGGTCCTTCACATGCGAGACCTATACGCGCATTATCAAAAAAATGACTTTTTCTTGTAGGTGTTCTTAGCAGCTATTTATCCCGCGGTATTAATCCTGCTGAAGGATCAAGCAGGATTAATACCGCGGTATTAATCCCGCGGTATTAATCATGCTTGCACGAAGGCCACTTGCGACCTTCATGCAAGTTTTGAGCACCAAGCACCGACCACAAGAAATAGGTTGACAGTGGTAGGTCTCAGCAAATATTAACAGAACATATGATATTTAATTCATTTTGTTGTGTTATTCACCCGCATGGCCTCGGCAATGGCAAAACCGCTCCCGATGAGTAAGATGACGCTCCATTGCAGCTTTGCCTGCACAGCCTTCCAGGTGACCAGACCGGGACTTGAGGTCAGGTTCTTCGGCTCAGCCGGAATAATGAAAAGCAGCACGACGGCGATCATGACTGCCGTGGCGTCTTTCGGCTTTCTGGAAACGGAACAGTAAAAGGCTTTGAATGATCTCAACGAGCGCTAAAATACTTTTCTATCAAATCATTACGCCCACTGTTCGCTAGTTTAGGCGATAGATGGACCTACTACTTTCTTTCTTTCTTTATTACTTTATACATTATTCGAAAATTATGAGTTATTAATAATATTTAAGGTAATATCGGCAACTCCTGACTTTCAGAAATTGACTGTATGCCGAATTTACTTTGTCGTGTAATCTAACAGACCGAGAATGTAGTCGTTAATGTGTTTTATTCTGCGTCGGGTATGCGTAACAATTCTGTTTCGTTGTCACGATTGCTCTTGGTTGTAATATTTACATAAGAACCACCACACCGAACCTTTTCCCGGTGTGTACCAGAACGCCTACAAACATTTGCATTTTACTGATTACTAAATTTTAATAACGGCCTCTCCCGTTGTAAGCTTTCGGAGAGGCTGTCCAATATTTATTCGGTAATCTGAAGAATTTCTTTCCATAATCTGTGATCGACTACATCAAACTCAAGAAAGGAATAGAAACACTTAAACTCTATTCTTTGGCTGATTGTGTTCTAAAAATTATGCCGGAGTTTCACGGAGCATAGTGGGTTATTTATTTCATGCGTTACTCTTCAAGACATTTTAGAAACACCGAATATATATATTTTTTTTATGCAACGCTTAGGCTGTCGGTATACACCAATGTCTGGACAAAACTTAATAATACAATAAATATACAAGTTCTGAGTGAGCTGCTTTGGTGGGCTTCCGTGGTTATTAGTTAGACCAGGGGTCTCAAACACGCGTCCCGCGGGCAGCATACGGCCCACGACTCGCTGGGACGCGGCCAGCAAGCAACCGGCTACGAGTCCCGGTTCCCATGACTCGAGCGCTGGAAATGGCAATGCCATCGTGATCTTATCATCTCGCCGATTCATTTCTGCTCGAAAAGTACCTCCAATCTTTGAACGTATTCACGTAGTTTTTACTTGTCTGTGTTCATTTGCCCCTTGTTTCATTTCATGTTTTGCTTCCCAGCATTTTGTAATGTACAACAATGACGCTACAAGGCTGCAAGAGCGAGCTCTTTGTTGAAGGATGAATCTCGGCTGCGCGAACTCTCGATCAGCAGGAGCAACTGCCGAAGATAATGCCACGAGCTCGGGATTCTCGCCTTAAAAAAATATCATAATTAAAAGACAAGTATATGGTTGTTGTAATAGGAATCGTCAGGAAAGCAAGAAATGAAAATCGAACTGCAAAATTAAGTGATTGTTTTTAGAGATATTTTGAGCTTGGTTAATTCCTCAGTGAACTGAGCAACGGAACGTCAGTGTACTTGCTTTTTTGTTCTATTAAAAATTGGAGCACGTTGGCCGGGGAGGGGGGGGGGGGGCGTCATTTTAATTATTCTTATACATCAGGACAGGGACCAATGTAGTGATATAAACTACTGAAATCTAGAAATGTCACAGGCAAAACTGAGTTTACAAAAGGCACAGAGCACAAGGTCTTTTCTCTTTCAAATCGTTTGATCCCCCCCCCTCCCCCCGGCTAACGTTGGCCCTCGGCCTTCCCAGTGCGGGCTATCTGGCCCCCACGCTCAAATGAGTTTGAGACCGCTGAGTTAGATGATAGCACAAACCTTGGGACAAAATGTTCGCCAAGTTTTGGCCACACTGCATACCTTAGGACAAAAGAGTGGTGGTAGTCCCGTATAGACACGAAATGTTCCACAATATTAACAAGGTAGCTAACAGGTATGGTGTCCCCTTAGTGATGTCAGCCCACCTCCCCCCCCCCCCCCCCCCAAAAAAAAAATGGGACAAATTTGTGCAAAGGTTTAGGCTAAGGCAAAAATACCAGAAATATATGGGCCACAAAAATCATGCCCATTCTTACGTACCCTATTCTTTAAGTGTCATCTATAGTGTCCCGTATTCATGTGGTAGATGCTACGGGTCACTGTCATTTCGGCCGATAGTCGGTCAAAAGGGGCGGAAGGGCCGGGAGTGGCTTTGAGGCCGAATAGGGCATAACGGCCGAGAAGTGCATTAAGGCCGACAGTCTCTGAATGGGCTCGTGTGGCCGCCTCCTCAGGGGTTACGTTGTGGTTGACGAAAGTAGTTGCCACCATATTGGGCAGATGGTGCCACATATTTATTTTATTTCTCAGCGCAGATTGTATCTCTCGGTGACGGCAAGTACTGCGTTTTTGGTTTTATTGCTTTATCCTTTACGGTTAATTAAACATGTCATACTTTGACCGTTTCCACTTGATTTTATTTTTTGCTACACACTGTGTCAACATTATTTGGTAAAGGGCGAGAGCTATGCCCCATGAGCCAATTAGAGAGACGGAACGAAGCACGTGACACTTCTCTAAGGCAAGAATGCACTCCGATGGTGAGTTGTCATGTTCTGATGGTATGGTTGACTGGCTCTGCAGTAAGTTTTGCTGTTTGCCAAGGTATGCTGGCTTTGCTCTCACGGGGGCCATCTTCTGTGGCATTTTTGTACGTTTTATTTTTAGCAAATCATAATTAATTACACGACAGTTATTTTTCAAGCTCTTTCGTAGCACCGATGGGTAAATTATATGACAATATCCAGCAGTCACAGCAAAGATACAACTTACATTCAAACGCCTAATACCTTCAGCAAAAAAGGAAAAAAAAGATTCATGCCGAAACTGGTGTTTGGCTACGCTGATTCTTGACCAGATACGTTAGCAATCGGTGTGGGACCGGACATTTCATCAAACGCCTTTTCATCGAAGCCATTTCGCTGTAAAATGATTGAAAATAAAATTTCAAAAATCAACCTCACTCATTGCTTTCGTAGCCGCCCGATTGCTTTGGGGTATTGGTGTCGACATACCGTGAACGACATTGTTGCGGCGGCGCTACAGTCGCATTTGTAGACTGAAGAAGAAGAGGATAGAATATAAGTTTGTTCTTCACCGATACTGGAGCAAGGCGGTCGACTTCAGATGCAACGGCAGCATCCAACATACATCGTTTCGCGTACACAAATGATGGTTTTAGAATAAGGGGCCTCAGCGCTTGGCTGCCCCAAAGAAATTGGGGAACCGAAACGCAACAAGGTTGGCGTCGCCGGCTCATAGAATAGGGGTATCGGAACGCAGCACGGCCCGCTTACGTTTCTCGCCTGCAGCACCGATGCAGCTAACGAGCGTAATAATAAAAAAATAAAATTATAAAGAAACGTAAGAAATGTGCTTAGCAAGTACATTTTGTTTACAAATAAAAATTGACGCAAATCCAAATGAAGCCGGCTAAAACAAAAGACCATATAAAATCAGTATAAATATTGTTAGCTCCTTTCGACCAAAATAATTCAATCCGTAGTGCTCTGACTTGGCGCTCGTGTGCTGCGTTGACCGTCTATTGCCGAAGATTTAGGCCTTCAACTATGCCGAAGCTGAGACGAACGCGAGCGAGCATACTCTGCGAGCAGTCGCTTTATCTAGGTCTGAGCTGGAGCGACTCTGAAGCATTGGAAGACTTGTTGTTAAGCTACAGGTAACGTGCCACGAACAAAATCCACTCGGAGTCTCGGAGTAGTGAGACGTTGCCATGTCAACGGTTACCGCGTCTCTTTAGGCTCAGGAACGGCCGGAATCCGAAGACGATTTTTAAAATGCACAAACTCACCTCTAATTTTTTTTTTTTTGTGCTTTGATTGAGAAATTGCGGAGCGAAAGTTGGCTGCGCCACTTACTGGCAATGTACGTGGCTAATACTGCAGCGTCAATGACGAATTTGCTACGAAGCGACCGGAAAAGGCACCGCCCTGTTTACCGACGCAATTAAGGGCCCCACGCTATTTCTCGAGTTTTGCGCTAGGGGGGAGCGCCGACCCGAAACGCAGTTTGGGTTCGGCGCATGCGCATTGGGTTTCCCCTATTTCTTAAAGAGTGCCTGAAAAGAAAACGAAATGATTTTTTTAAACAGCCTAATTCGGGCGGGTCTGTCAAAAAATTAACGTTACGAAAAAAAGAAAAAAAAATCTAGAGCCATATTGCCGGCGCGAGACGGGATTTAGTCGGTAGTCACCTCCTTTCCACTTGTTTTCTCTCTCAGCACTTCGAGCGCGTGGAAGAGAGGTGGATCGGCTTCGCCTTCACGTTGAGGTGGAAAGAGCAAATTACCATCTCGTTAAGGTGGTAAGAGCAAATGACCATTCCGTGACTTCATGGACTTTGCCTGCAGAATTCAAACTAAATCTCGCGCCGTCAATATTGCTAAAAAAAATATTGTTTTCGCGTAAAATATATTTTTTGACCCGCGTGTCCCAACCAGACTGTTTAAAAAAAAAAATTATCTTCAGGGGCCCGCTATGGACATCCTAGAATTTGGCGAGTCTATGGACTCGCCAAATTCGGAGAGCCTATGGAGATCCTAGCTCTGGCCGAGTCTAGGGGCATCCTATTTTTTCTCTCTCCTGCGAGTTAAGTCACATGGGTGTGAGTTGGATTGAAAGTGAAAAAAATCTACGTCGGTTTTTGTAATTCCAGAAACTCAGAAGGTGCCCACGCCGGCATCCAGTTTTGCCATTGCGATGCATAATTAATGACAACATTGTTTTCACCTCTATTACTGACTGCGCCCACCGGTAAAATGAAACACTGCAAATTATGTTCTCTCAAGAAGGTAAATGAAACAAGAATGTCGGATATTTGATTATACAGAAACTAATCAGACACTGCAGGCTATTTGAACGTGAACCGGAGAAATGCCGTTAACCGAGACGCACATCTATCTTTTTTTTTTTTATATTTACTTTGACATACCTGGAAAAAAATTATGACTTGGTTGTAAAGTACGTGACATCCTACGGACCTCGTATTACCCCTTTGTTTTGCAGTTTCCCCAAATCAGCAGGCTCTGTTGCTGTTTTTTTTTTATTCTCAGGCAATGAATTCGTTTGAACTTTTTCAAGCTCAACTGTCGTCACCGTGGTGCGCAAGGGTTGTTTTTTGATGACAGAAATATAAATTGAACATACGAATTAAAGAACGATGGCCCAGAAATAAGCGGCGCCGTAGATTTCACAGCTCGCTGATAACAACACCGTTGTTTTTCGGAAGTCCCGTGTGCATGTGACAAAAACTGTACCATTTCTTAAACCACGTAATTTTTGTGATGCATTTAGTGTTCGGTTCGGCCAATGACGGCTTATGCCACATCGTGTTGAATCTTCATGGAGTCCTTTTTTTTCTTTTCTCGTTTCTGTGTGCTCTTTGTTAAGTGTCCGCGTCGACTTAGATATCGGATTACAACTTCGAAGTCCTAAAATTTCATCGTAAGTACACTTTAACCTCTTGGAGACGATTGGCCTATTTTTTGGTTTTGTTTTTATGACGCTAACGGGTGGGCAACGGACAACTACAAACACGTTATCCACACGTTAGCGTTCTAAACACCAAGAAAAAATGTTTAACCAACACGCTCTCCTGATTTTACCCGCGTCGATTCGTTCTTCTACGGGTACCCATCCTGATTACCTGCAAAATTACCCCCGTTCTTGTTTTCGTTGCAATTTTCTCAGTTGTATGACTGCTTAGTAGTATCTATTGACATTTCACAGATCGCTTGCACGCTTAAAGTTGTCTATAAATAGACTCTGTGTAATGAACTTCTAGGAGATCTGAAATCAAACCCTTGTGTCTGTCTTAGCACCAGCTTGCTCTGTACATGCTTTAAACTGACGTCACGCCCTCCATTTCGCACCACCACGGAAGACAGAGAGAAGGAAGCCGCTTTAGTACGAATTGTTAGTGACAAGGTAATCTTCTATAATATTTTAGAGAGAGAATAGCGACGTCTGGGCACGTCTGGGACGCACAAAAGTGAGTGCCGGTAAGAGGGGAGTACCCCTTTTTCCTTTTCTCTGGTGGTGGCCGGAGAGCTGAAGGAATGACGTCAGGTGCAAAGCCCGTATATAATTGAGCGATGGTCGTCCTAGGCTTCTCCTGGGAACCTAGGACAACTATTTTATTAGTCTAGGACGACCATTCTATTGCCTGTGTAGCAGCATCATAGGCCCCACCTAGAAGCCTAGGACGACCATTCAATTACCTTTGTAGCAGTATCTTATGACTGTGTACGTCCTACGCTCTTCCTAGGGGCCTCATATAGAAAATGTGCCACGGATATCATATTGCCTTTCTAGTAAGATTCTACGGTTATCCTACCTGCTACTCGACTTCATCCGGTATTACTCTATTAGAGCTGTCATAGGCTTAGGCTTCCCATAGGACGTCCTTAGCAGGTCAGTAGACCTAGATTGTCTGTAGTATGTCCGTCGGTCAAGATTCTATAGGAGACCTCTCGGAGGATGATAGGAAGGTATTAGCGCTCATGGCCTCCATAGAGAGACCCTATGCTCTAGGGTGCAAGTACATTTTCTTTGTAGGGGGATGAGAATTGAGCAATGCATTCGTTGCCACGGGCTGATGTATTCTCGTAATAAATTTTTCTCGATGTTGTCGAAGTCGCGTAGCTTGTGGAGATTAGGGCATTGCGAAAATTAGGTTGTTTACAGCAGTTACTCATAGCCTATGTGCGCTGGATTTATTTGTTTTCGGTTTACGCGAATCTAGCCCCAAGGGAGTTAGACGTTTCTTTAAGAATGCGCTTCTTCCAGTTCCCTACCTTGACAGCTTATATTTTTCTCCCTCAATCTCCCACTATCATTAGCCAAATATTTGACTGTACGTGTTCGCGCTACAGATTGTCAGTCAGCGGATATCTGCGAGTGGTTTCACGGATACTGCTTGGAAGAGCGAACAAACGAGGACTTACGTGATGCTGAAGAAAGTTGCCCAGCCCCGGGCGAACATGGGGTCGCGGAACAGCCACAAGAACACCAACAACGTGAAAAGTAGCAGCACCGCCACCTCGTGGAACCTGCACATAACAGTAGTTGCTTACGCAAAGGGTTCTCGAGCGCCAATCAGGCGCAAAGAAATTCGTATAAATAAGCCGCAGAACAGAGGGTCAAGGAACTTTTCCCAGAGGTGTTTTTAGGTGGCAAATTGATCATACTAATTTTTTTTGAGTATAGGTATCTGGAAGAGAAAAAATGCTAGCAAATAAAAACTTATTTTTTCCTACCCTATTGAAAATTCCATCAAGGTACGTAATTTGGGACACTGACTGCCAGTCAGCAGCCTTGGTGGAACGTGGTGGACCATCAGACGTCATCTGATGGTCCATCAGATGACGTCTGACTGCCACTGCCAAGGGAATTTCATCAACAAGGGCAGCATTTATATAAGAGTAAAGCTATACGCACTCATAAATATCGCCAAATGCCTCGATAAAACAAAATGTTCGAGAAAAAAAAAAAAAAAAAAAGCTCGACTATTGGGCATTGAACCCGCGACCACTTGCCCACATATCGGGAACCCTAACCGCAATGCTATGCCACCTTTTTTTTTTTTTTTTTTTTTTTTATTTAAAATTGATCTTTATGTACATGTTTAAAAAAATTCGTTCACACTTCCTCATGCACTCAAAGTGCAGAAAAAACCACCAAAGCAATGCTATGCCACCGCTTAGGACAGTCGCTTTGAATATTCGTTTTATACGTGATGCTTCGGCTGCAAATGCAGTTAAGCCGTCAGCATGTTATGCAAAGCACTCGTACATCACTCGCCGTACTTCAGTTCTACTCACCTGCCCTGTAGAGTACTTTCGCGTCGTAGAACGATCCTTTTGTTCGCGCGTCACCGGCCGAGTAGACCTGGTACACCTTGTCTTCAACTACACCGCTAAAGTCCCTTACATCGTCGGAACTCACAACAGGCTGGGTCTTGTCGAGTAGAAATTCTACTAAAACATAAGACATTGTAGAGCCCGGGCAGGATCGACAGGTTGGAGCAAGCGAGCAAACAACACGAGTCGAGAGCGATCGTTCATGAAAGCTCGGCGAAGCCTCTATGGGCGAAGCGAAGTCAGCGAAGTGTCGTGTTCGGCCCTTGTGTTCGGCGCTTCGGCGGGCTTCTGATCAAGGTTGTCGGTCGGTTGCGTGTCATATCTCTAACGTCAGTGGTTTTATGGGCTCACGTCCCGAAATCGTTTTCTCGTGCATAGATTACTTTTCGTATTCATTGATTTGACCAAATAGTGGTATCCGAACGAACTTTACGTCCTCTGACCGTACGTCTGTCTGCACGTCAAAGCTTTTTGACGTACAGTCAGAGACAATCGATGTACAGTCAGAATCGCCACCAAGACATCCTGATGGCATTTCGCGACGGCCGACTGCCACCAGGAAACCATCAGAAAGCCGACAAGCGGAGTCTGACTGGAGTTTGACTGTCGGTCAGAGTAACTTGTTGGCCAATCAGACATGCTTAACGTGCAGTCAGGCACAGTCAGCGGTCCACTAGAAAACATTGACTGCCAAACAGGGTTACATTGATGGATTTTTCCTTCGGGTATGCGCTGGAGCATATCGTTGGGTTGACTCCGCTACGCAAATATCGTACCACTCGCTGTCGCATCTTCTGTATCTGATTTGAATGTTAAACTCTAAAAGTAGGGGCGGGCAACTGATCGATTAACCGATCATTCAATGAATGCTTTAATCGCGATTACTTTTTTTAACCGGTTAAGTGGTGATATGTTGACAAACCAAGAAAAGTTAAAATAAATTATTTCAGCATGCAGACATGGACGCAAAAACCTAAATGATAGGCAAACATTAAGTGAAATTTTGACCTGAAGGAGGCCCGCAGTCAGGGGGGAGGTCCTGGGGGCCCGTCCCCCTTCCCATTCACAACTTTTTTGTGATGGGGAAAGGGGGGGGGGGGGGGAGCTCCAGGACGGCTTCGCAAAAGTAGAACTAAAGGCTCTCTTTTTTTTTTCTTTCTTGTCTTTATAAGCACGTCGGTTCGAGCTATGAACGTGCACACGATGAAAGGAGGATTGAGGTGTTCGACGCTGATTGGTTCACGGGGAGGTCATGTGACCACAGGGTAGGCGAGGAGGAGCTCGACCATTTGTGCGCACTAAGGGAGAGGAGCTCGAGGGTAAGGAAGGCTCTGGCGCAAGGTTTATCGGCCCGATTAGCAGTAGTGGCACTTCACTCTTAAAGCTTCAGCGTTGATCTGTCTAAGTAAACTCTCCATAACATTCATACGAGGCAATTCATTCTCGCGTGCTCGGCTTTACTGACAAATAATGACAAATAATGATTCGTCTTTCTTGAAGCGAGAGATCCTGAATTCGTTATCGACTGAGTAGAGCGGAGAAACCACAGGGCGGCATCCCTACCGATATTTTCACTCAGATATTACAAATGTAGGACTTACCTGATAGGACCGAGGGACGCGTAGTTACGGCGAATTACGTTCATCGCCGAAACGCCGCCATCTTCGTCAATTTCTGGCCTGGCGTGGGAACAACGAAGGGCTCTTAAAACACATACCCGCTCCCAAACAATTATTCGTGGAATTAAGACACAATAAAGAAAAGGACGTCCGGAAGGTGTATTGCACATTTTACACCAGGAGCCTTTTTTCAATTGTCAGATTTCGGAACTACAGTTTCGAAAACCCATGAACCCCACATGGGGCCCGATTTATAGGTGCTTTCGAGGGTAAACCCATCGGAATATAGCCCCGTAAAAAAAGTAATAAATCTCGCATTTCCTAGCTACGGTCTGCTCCCATGGGTTTGTCGAGAAGAGTACGACTACGTCCTGTAGGAAAATTGACCACTGGTCAGCCCACCAAACACCACCTACACTCTGTCCCAGCTTAAGTCTGAGCGCCGCCTATAGGCTGCAAGTGAATGGGTCCAATCAGGCATACTGAAAAGCGTCAAACCAAAAAATCGTTTGTTTTGTTTTTTTCTTTTTTACAGCGAAGTTGCTTATTGCTAGGGTTCTGTGGATTTTTCGTGTGCGTCAACAAAACCTCAGAGAAGGCTCGCACCGCCTCTCTTTGTCGCCGTTCCAAGCGCTTGCGTGCCTAGTTTCCTTTCCTTTCACCGGATGGCGATCCCATTGCGCGTGTCTAGTTTCCTCGGGCTCCTCGGGGCGGCGATAGTCCTCGACATGTACCTTTCGTCACGAGGACCACCCATCAAGACAATAGGCATGTGTTCGTACCTTTGTGCAAACTTCCGCGTCACCTCTGCGTCGTGTGCTAAACAGCTTCGCTGGTCATCCATCTTCGTAGGTTTGAATGCTTCATGATTTTTCTATGCTTGTGTTACCGCCAACTGGTCGAATGAAGCGCGAAGAAAGCGTCGCGACTATATTCCGTCCGTGGTCCGTGCGTTAGGTTTGTATTTCCACAAGATTTTAGCTTCGCCCAGACTTTCTATGAAACATAGCACATAGTAGTCAAAGCCAGCGAACGTCCTTTTCTACCTGCACGCAGCGTCATCGTTTTCGGATATGGCTCAAACTCGGCACTTAGGCCCGAGCCTGGCGTCGAGCGCTCTTCGACACGTCGATAGGACACTAGGTCCAGCCGAACGCTGACACAGCACTCGTGTTCAATCTGTGTCTGCTCTCAATCTCAATGCGGGGACGTCGAAATGCTATAGTGCGTGTACTTTGATTATTCCAGACAGTGTTCCGCCGAATTCTGAAAATTTGGCGGAAGAGGGTTGTGGAACGCCACTTGACGTCCTGTGGGAACGCAGCTTTAGCGCGTGCGTTCTGCAAACACTGCTTTCGCTGCGTACATTACTAAGCCCTTATACGTCACAAAAAGAAGGGAAAAAATTGCTTTTTTTTCATAATGGCAGTTGCTTGAGGCGACGGCCTCGACATACAAGTGAAATTTAGTAGATCCTTCTCTTCTCTCATTGCGATAAGGCCTTCGCGCATGCATCGTGTGTCTACCGAGTTGCAAAAACAGTTTTCTATAAATTACGAATCTCCACGCGTCTACTTTACCGCAAAGTACCCAGTGAGCATACGGAAGGGGATAGGCGCATGACGACGCCGGAAGAATAACTTCACTTAAAAGTAACACTGAGTACAACGTTTGATTCGCTCAAGCCATATCCTGTATCCGACCGGAGGCTACCGTTTAAATTAAAATTGCTATTTTTTTTTTCTTTCGGGGGGCGGGGGGAGGGGGGGGGGGTGTAGTCATTTGTTGAGCTTGTTTTCATAGATCGCTGTGAATGACTCTCAGAGATCTTCGGGGAATTTAGCGCGCAGATATGTTTAAAGAACCTATTGTACAGTTTACCAACTGTCCCAACATGGTAGAACACGGTACGTTTGAAAAGAAATCATGCGCGTTCACAATCCTGCAGAACAGGCAGGTACCCCATCGCTGTGAGCAACGTGAGTAGCTGAAAAAAAATGTAAAGTCCGGATGGACAATGTCTATGACGTTTCACACGATCAAACTTCAGTTGTAATTGTATTCTGAGCACGCTGAAATCATCTCGTTATTCGCGATGATGAGCTACGGACGCGTGTATCTGGAAATTAAGCGCCCGGATGTCTGTTCAGCGTGAGCACCCCTTCGTTTGAGTTCAATGGTCGCACGTGAAAAGATACCTTACAGGTTGAAACCCTTCTCAGGTAGATAGCACAATGTACCGAGTATACGCAAAACTTTCTTGTAAAACCGTTCTTGGCCGCTCAACAGAATCACATTTTTAGAAAATTGAAAAATTACGCTACCGCTACGATATTACTATACGAGCTTGCTACTAGCGAAGTGCGCGGCCAAAAGCGTCTCTGTTGTCGAAGTTCGCAATTCGCCAAATCCATGCTTCCTGCATTATGATAATGCCTGCCGAATCGCCGGTTCCCGTCCAAGCAAATCCTGCCAATCAAGGGGAGGCGAATACCGGTCGTGACGTCACGAAACGAAACGATAAAAGATCGCCATCAAAAGATATCGGCGTTAATAGTCGGTTGCAACATAAAACAGTCTGTTGCAACATAAAACCTGCAGAAAAATGCGTCGCCCCCAAATTCCCAGAGAAAAGGAAAACCACGAGTACAACCTTAAAGCATCCTAAAAAACGCGCCATAATTGTTTATTGTTTTTTTTTGTTTTTGTTTTTTTTTTGCTTTTTTTATAGGATGAGACACCGCAAAACATGGTGTTCTCTAACCACCGAAAGTGGCTTGCAGACCGCTGGAATGTGCCTTTCACATCCCCCTCTGCAGTATTTTACCGGAAGCAGGCTGTTATGCGGAGTGCAAGTTCGTCCGCTCTTTTTAGAAATGGTTGTGGTGACGTCAGAACGCCGATCTCTGATTGGTTCTGAAAGAAAAACGGTGGGTAGACCTGGAGGCAGCTTGCTTCGAGGTGTACTCACTATTCTTCAATCAGAGCCAATCAGAGCTCGGCGTCTTTCTGACGTCACAGCAACTCCTGCGGAAGAAGCATACGACTTGCTTTCCGCATACTCTGTTTCCTTTCAGTCCGACCACAACCGACGCTAGCATCCGACGGAGCCAATTAAGCGTCGCCAAAAGTGGGTCGTCACGGCTCTTTTTATCTTTGTGGCTGTGCCGTCAACGGCTAAACCAATCCGGCACCGGAAGAATTACTGGACCACGTGACTTCCCTGGCCGTGGGCGGCGGAGAAAAGCTCACCGGAGAAAAGCTCACCGGAGATAAGCTCACCGCAAAACCGTCAGATGCGGAGAAAAGCTCACCGGCCTTTGAGCAAATGCAAAGAAAAGCTCACCGATTTCTTCTTTTTTTTTTTAACTTAGAGGATTCTGCGTGAAACGTGGCGCATTCGTCACTTCATTAAATATATATCCTCTTTTTTTTCTAATATTCTCGAAGTTCATTGGAAATATTTAGTAATTCCTCGGAAATTAGTAGTCACCCATTCTGTATATTAATAAGTATAAAATCAGAACATCCTACTCCGGTAAAAAAAAAGGCAACAATTTATTGATAGCTGACAGTGCGCCGTCGGTAGCGCTGTCAGATAGAGGTTTGTTTTTTGCGAGCTAATATGAATAGTGGTGTGGTAACCAGTTTCAGCTCCAAATATTGTGTTGTGTCTAATATATAAGTAGGTATTTGTTGATGTAGTCAGTGTCGCCAACACTGTTTTCTTTTCGTTAATTTCACTAACAAAACTTTAGTTGCGAGAACAGCTTCGTCCTGTCGCGTTTGTTGTCTTCACTCCCTCGTCGTCGTTTGAGCCGTTTTCATCATGTATAACGTTTACCAACTCGCTCTATCCGCTACCTTACAGAAGACTAGTTCCTGTATAGGTCACGAGGAACAAAGGTGTCAGTGTGCAGCTCTGAAGGTCATGGGTGGCTCACCGTAGAAGGGCACTGTCACAAAAAGACAACGTGAGAAAACACCAGCACGAACGGCTGGAAAAAGTGCATGTCCGTGGAAGAAAGAAGCCTCGATATCCTAGTGACTGTTTTATCCTGTTTTCAAAGGTGAACAAAAGCTTCAAAGAGATTTTCAGGCACCGCATTGTTGCTCATGCACTTTCGGAGTTTCGGCATTTAGAGTTTTGGTTTTTATGTTTTAGGCAGACATTATTAAGTTTTCGAACTTTGTCCTCTTCTCAGTTCAACTTTCGTTGGCTTACTCTCTGTGGCTTACTCTCTATAGAGAGTAAGCCACAGAAAACACTCGCCCGCAATTATTAATGTTTGGGCTATATACCCAATAAGATGAACAAATAATACAAAAAAATTACATTTTCTTTTTCACAATGCTGACGAAGTTTGATGATAATAAATTGTTATATGTTACGCATGATTTAACAGCCTCCATGTAAAAAATAAGAAAAAAATCGGTGAGCTTTTCTCCGCATCCGTCGGTTTTGCGGTGAGCTTTTCTCCGGTGAGCTTATCTGCGGTGAGCTTTTCTCCGGTGAGCTTGTCTCCGGTGAGCTTTTCTCCGGGATTCCCTGCCCGTGACTGGTTAAGGTTCGTTGTATACTCACTACACTTACAAAGTTTGTATTCGTGCGACTCCTACCCATGGGCCTGTTTTAGATCCATCGAAGAATCTTTTTATCGCGGTAACTGCTTAACTCTCGTGCCTACCTCCTGCAGCGGAAGAACACGGGCACCACGAGCAGAAAGATGAGGACCGTGCCCACGAGGGTGATGGGGAGGGCGAAGAAGAGCCACGTTGCGTAGTCCACTGGGGCTCGGCCTTCGTACTCGCTGACACCGGAAACGAACGAGACAGACAACCATCAGACTAGCGAACGTGCTTCTTTTTTTCTTTTCTTTTTTATTCGAGAATGGCATTTGTTATCGCAAATCACCGGTTGCGATTGCGAACTATAGCACAACATTGTAAGGCGGGCACTATTATTTTGTTCGTTAAACTGTACACTTCAAAGAGCTACCCTCTATATCGCAAAATACGTCTCCCAATTTTTAAACAAAATATGTGCGTCTACTCTCTCGCAAAGCACTTAAGAGAGTCAATCGCTGAATCTACGCGAATCCAAAGGAAGACGCGGAAAATATGTATAGGCCTAGAACAGTCTGCGCTGAGCATGGGGGTGAAGCGTCATGCTCAGTGTAACTGCGCAGCCTGCTTTCGCAGGTCCATACATGTTTTAGTCTCGTCCCTCGCCGAGCTCCCTTTTTAGGTTGAAGGTCAGCTCGAACTTAAGGACGGGACAGGACAAAACCGCCAACTAACAACTTTAGTTTAGTACACTTCTTCTACGAATGCGTAATCGTCTTCTTCCCGAGACTGCTCATATATACACAAAAATAACCATTAGTTGGAAACAATATTTACACGGGCAAGGTATACATTTAATCAAATTTTCTTTATTTGAACTTAAATTTCAAATATTTACACAAGACACGACTATATTCATTAATATGTACCAGCTATCTTAACTATAGACCCTCTAACCGAGTACATTGCAGCGATTGGCATTCCCGAGGTGTTTCTGCGAATGTATATAAAGCTCGAGATTCCTTAGAGTGCACGATCGCCGACCGCCTAAAACGTGCAGGGCGTCGCGTTCATTGTCCTCAATCCTCTTCCCTCGTGATTCGGTATTGCGCTTTTTTTTTCTTTTGAACCGGCTGAGCCACAATCTTTTAGGCTGCACATCAATAATAAGATGCCCGGCGCTCATTGCGTGTCGTACGCTGTCGAGTAGTCTACAGGCGAACTCGAGTCTTTGACGTCACGCCACTGGGGTGGCGCTGCTGTCGGCACTGAGCATGCGCAGACGCTTTCCTTTCTCTCTCCCGGATATGGGTTTTGCGCACGAGCATTTCCCACATCACTATGCTACACGACCGTGTGCTGCGATTGGTCAGCGCCGCGCCTCGCCGACCAATCGCAGCAGACGGCGTTGTCCCGGTCATTTGGTCCCGCTTGGTCCCGCCGTGTGACGTAGGGAGGTGTATCGGTGTATATATCGTTACCGACTGCTTGTTTAATGTTTGTTGCTGTGTGGCTTGTCCTTGGGCGTTTCTACCGGCTAATGCCTTAATCTACTTTGCACATAGAGGGATAATGAGTTGCTCGAGGCTCGCCACGCCCAGCGTTCCTTAAAGGGGCACTGAAGTCATTTTTTAAAGTGGTCATTTTTTATTTTATACTGTTTATAATGTGTTATTTCTGAGATTTACCAAGTCCTATAATACAAAACCACCTACTCATCCCAGAACAAGAGAAAAACATGTGGACTCTTTTTTCTCGCGGACTGCACTGTGTGGACCAATGAAAGCCCTACGATACGCGCAGATTCCGAATGATTTTTTTATAACTCGTTTCTAAGAGAGTCTCATTCCTCACATTCGGATAAGACTCGTCTATTTCACCAGGGGCGAAGCCATCGGTTGCAACTCGCCGACAAGCACCCTTCGTCGAGCACTTCACTCGGAGGAAAACTCTTCCTAAGAAGGGTCGCGATCTGTGAACACTTTTTTACGAGGACATAAGCTACGTACGATTGTAATTTTGGGTTAGTCGGGATGCTTAGAGCGTCTAGACTGAGTTGTCACTACAAAAGGCCGATCTCAGAATCGACTTCAGTGCCCCTTTAAGTTCTCGGTGACGATGTGCAGACTCTGGTAAGTTCCTGTGTGTGCACTACTTCAAAGTGCACTCGAAATTGCTGTAACTAATACCCCTCAAATTATTTTGTATAGTAAACAGGGCCGAAAAGTATCCCAAGTATCGTGCATCTTGAATGGCAATATTATTACGGATGAGCCCTCGTAATTGACCGCAATTGAAAACACTGCACTCTAAAAAAAAAAAATTGGACATTTGTTTGGGAGTTTACTTTTCTGCGGAACAAAGAGACAGCAAATAATGGCGAACGATAGAAGGATCTCCGCGAACGACGAAGTTCGGAGTACGATTGAACGAAAAAAAAAATGAACGCCGTTTACAATTCCCTGTAACTCCGTTTAGAGCGCAGCTCTTGAGGAGGAGGATGGAAGCGTACTGAGGGATAGGTGACTGCTTGAGGTCACGTGACTTAAGGGGGTCACGTGACCTCAGGGGAGTCACCTGACCTCAGGGGGTCACGTGGCCTCAGGGGGTCACGTGACCTTCGGGGGTCGCGTGACCTCAGGGGTCACGTGACTTCGGGAGGGGGGGGGGGGTCACGTGACCTCGCGGTTACGCCGACGCCGACGGTGACACCGCTCGAGCCTGAAACGGGCCCCTAAGAGTTGCGCTCTAAAAAAGTGCCACGTGCGAAGTGACATGACGTTTCGAAGGCTCATCTGTCCCTGGGCGCATCGTGTTTTCCATATCTCATCGTGTTTCAAGCCTTCTCGTTTAATGGAACGCTTCTGTTGCTTTTCGTGATTGGCTCCCTCCGTCTTCTGAAGGAAAGCGAACTCACGGACATTCTTTTAGAGAGCTCCTTATTGGCTGATATGACTGACGGCAGATCACTAAATATAGGCGTGCCCGCTGCAACAAGAAATACTGTATGACATCCTAAGATCCCATTGTTTGTTTGTTTTTTATCATACCTCCCTTCCCCTATTTCTCCGCGGCCGAAAGCGAGAAGAAATAATCAATCTAGAGCCTATTAGGCACCCAAGAAACTTTTTTTTTCTGTGTATTGCTAATGTAGATTATTCCGCAATTCGAAAATCGTATATTAAAATGAATTCTTTTAGAGGAAATTCGCGTTATTACATGCGCAAGGAAAAAAATATTAATCGTTGTGCAGAAGCGTTAGCAGGTTGATTTTCATGAACTGTATGTTTCGATGCGAATGTATCGCCCTTCTGCATACTGTCAAGGAAATCTGGACGCAAGGCTCCTGGATGGGCCAATCCCTGCAATCTACAGAGGGAGCTCGCCAAATGGTGAAATCATGTTGACCCCTACAAAATAGCAGCTGAGCTATCATAATAATAATAATAATAATAATTTTTTTATTTTCTGTGCTCACAAACAACTTTTCAGTCTCCACCGTGGTGCACTAAAATTCTAAAATACGAATACAACAAAAAATAAAATACTAAATACAAATACCACAAAAAAATCTTCATTCTAGGCAAGAGACATACATTCACAAACGAGCAAGGTAAATTCCCGAAGACACATGAAAATATCCAGGTGATGTTCTGTATTGAAGGCCATTTGAATCCGTGACAAAGGGGATACAGGGGACATGCAAGATGGATAAAACGTTAATACACTCCGGCTGGCCCTCGATGGAACATGGAAGTCAATGAATCGTAGTAAATCCATTGACCTGACGTGACCATGAACAACTTTATGAAGCAAAACAAAATCTCTAGACTGCCTCCTCACGGCAAGTTTATTAGATGCAAACCGCTGAAGTAGCGTTTCATAATGATAAGAAGACCTCCTTCCAATGTATCGGTCACACACAATTCTTATCAGCCGCTTTAGTACATTTTCGATTTCTGTTGCCTGACCAAGAGATAATGAATTGCAGATTACCGAGCCAAATTCTAACCGTGATCTAACTAGTGACTTAAACAAATGATACTGATCATGGCAAAACATCATGCCCAGCGCCACTATGCAGATTGTTTTCTGTTTTTTTATACATATTTTTAGCATCGTCATTTATCGGGTTGCCTCTGCAGACTGCAGCAACGACTGCCTGTGCGAAGTGCTTTGCATCAGGCAGACACAAGGGCTTTCCTAAGTTGGGGATCTCAAGACGTCAAGTGTAAACTGTGCATCTTACTCGTTGATGACGAATTGAAAGCAGATGTTTGATCCGGCGCTTGTGATGGTAGTAATGGCTCCTGTGTTGGCGCCGTACGTTACGCTCAGGTACAGCAACACTCGAATCCGCTTCTTCAGGTCATCGGAAGGCGACTTCTGGTCGGCACGAGCTGTCTTTTTTCCAGGACCTAACGCAGTCTTTTCCCCTGCATACCTAGGCAGGAATACGTCAGTTGTATCAATTCAAATGTAAACATACAATATAAAAAAAAATAAAGTGGCTTATCTGACACCAAATAAGCTCTTTTCAAAAGTACATCAACAAACACTGGCAGTCCGCATTGCTTGCGAATCATTTGTTGGTGCTTTTAGATTTAGGCTAAGTGGCGCAAGCTACCGCCCTTTACAAAGGGTATAGTAATTAACATCCAGCCATCCATCCATCTATCCAAGGGCACGAAGCGCGTAATTAGATACGAGCCCTCTCCGAACGTTGACGCATGCGTCGTTTCCAATACATGCCCACAGTATGTGAGCAAGCGATGGCGGTCAGGCGTGGGAGCGGTCTTTTGAAAGGGATCTGTTCATGTGTGTCTAATACACTTCGTCGTGTCCCTTGATTGTCAACAGAGAAGCGGCAATCAGGTGAAATAAAAACTCGACACAAATGAGCACGCTGTGAGTTTATGTGATAACTTTTTGAATTACAGTTGAATAGGGTGTCAACACTTTTAACAACGTTGTCCTTAATTTTTAAAATATAAAAATAAAAAAACTATTTTCCAGACACCGGAAGTTCTTAAACATTTTCTATAATTGACCATGATTGTATTACTGCTGCTGAGTGTACAATGATTTCAAGTCCAGCTAGCTAATAACTTTTCAAAATACAAGCTTTACTTCGGTGTTTCAACGTATTGCGCTGCGATTTTCTACAGAGGTGCAATCAGGGGCTGGAAGCAGGGGGCCCGGTGAACATATCAACGGACGACCTGAACTTGTTCCAAAAGGGGGGGAAAACTGTTTCGGGCTAATTGTTGCGGCATTCACAGACGACGTCATGACCGGGCTTGTCTATACTTACATCTGCCACCGACTAATGCCGGAAGCGTCGAGCGCACCAGCGCCCAGCTTAGCAGGCGATCTTCGGAAATGCGTCACTCTGCCGGAGCGCGGCTCTCTAATGTTCAATTCTAAATGTGCGATAATTTGTTCATTAAAAAAGTAAATTAATAAGAAATCAAGAATTTCAATTTCTCATAGCTCCCTATTTTTCGTACGCAGAGGATCGATCAAGGCGCCGCATTACTCCCATGTCTCACGTTGCGCCATCTTTCGGCAGCGCATAAAACAAGACGAGCACGGTCATAACGCCGTCTGCAAATGTTGCGGCAGAAAACTCAAAGCAGTTTTTTTTTTCTTTTTTTGAACGTTGCATACTCATTTCTTGATATTTTCTCTCTATGCTTCCACCATCTAGCCGCGCCTGTGTAGTAAATTATTGCGCGAAACGTTGAGAAACCGACTTTAGCGGACCGTGTAAAGTGTGTTAGAAGCGTTAGTTTATATCCTGTAGTGAAAGAAAAGTGAGGCTAGTAAAGGCAACAAGTAGCAGCACCGCATTGTTATATATATATAATTTATATATGCAAGACTCAGATCTTCAGGACGTTCAAGATACCACCTTACCCGTTGAGATAAACCAGGCCATTTGCACAACCGTTTCCCTTCTCCGGATCTTCAGGGGTCACCCCAGTCAAACCTTCGAAGACAAACAAAACGAACCTCGTGACAATCTGTTGCGCAGCTTGAAACAGAACTCTCTACCATATTCGTCGACAGCATAACAGGGCGTGGCTTGTCCAGGTTATCTCAATACTTCTCCGCAACAAATGAGATCGAAGCATTATCTGACGCAGAAAACCGCATCCAGTAAGCGGCAAACGTGAACGTAATAATAACTACACGTTTACTCCGCCCCCAGATTGGGAGCCGAATGTACGAGCTATCCGTTGAGTTCTCATGCTCCAAACAAGCATCGCGTTACGTAATTCCTGTGACTAGTTAGAGGCCCAAGACTAGCGCAGGCGGCCATATAGTAACTGATGACTTCATAATCGCAGCGCGTGGCCTAATATCATCACCTTTCTTGCTTTCCGATACGTTCTTAGACGTCCTAGTTCACAAATCTCGCAACCTTATAGGCTGCTGCTCGATAGCGAGTCGCGCGGGACGCTCTACACTCTAAGAAATGCCTGCGCGTCTATTTCTCTGCATAACACTCAAAGAGCCAATCTCTGCATGCGATCTACGAAACGAACTCAAAAAACGATGAGGCAGAACATCCGTTTAGGCCTTAAAATGAAGTCTGCGCTGTCGCATTACGCAATGCAAAGCGTCATGCTTGCATTGCGTAATGCCACAGCGCAGACTTAATCTTGAGGTCTAAACAGATGCTCCGCCTCGTCATTCGCTGAGCTGATTTTGTAGATCGCAGAGATTGGCTCTTCGTGTGTTTTGCGGGAAAGCAGACGCGCAGACATTTCTTCGAGTGTACGCCCCACGTGTCATAATCTGTTCGCGACTGTATCAACTTTTGTCCCAGGTGAGAGCAACGAACACGTAAAAATTACGCCTTAATATTTTTGTATATTTTCTTTTTGTGCAATGAAATTTTACTTTTTTTTTCCTCCCGGTGTTTTTTTTTAATGTTCTTAGAAGGACCTGACATTACGTGCAACAGGGTGTCTTCCGTCACCGGCTCTTGGGTTTTAAAATACGTGGGAGCGTCCAAATGTTTCTTGGCAACTCAATGAGCGTCGGTCAATTACTGCATCCCTCCTGCCGATCCAATCGCTATAGTAGCTTTCATGGCCCTCTAGAGTCACTGATAGTTGCGGATTGAAACGAAGGGCGAATTCCGATCATTTCTTTATCGCTCCACGACCAAAAATATGACAGCCGTAGGCAATAAGAACGCCGAAGAGCGGTCCACCAAGCAAGAAGGGTTAACATGTGAAGACATGCCCTGTGTTTCCCAAGTTGTCTGTAACTCTATATGTGTATAGGGTGTCCCAAGTTACCAGGCTCGATCTAAAATGGACCGTAAATATCGACGACTGCACGTAGCAATCTAAACTTTTCGTCAGAGGTGCATTTCACTGATCGTTTTTTCCTTGTAAAATTACGAAGCGTGGCTCACATTCTGTAAAAACAAGGACCAAGAAACTTGCCAGGGTCAACGGCGGGTGGCGACGCAGACGACCAAGTCGAGTTGCGGTGTGCGTTTGGCGATCCTATTGATAGATGGCGTCGGAAGCAGTGTCTGAAAGTGTAGCCGACCAGCGAAAGAAAGCAGACGGCACGCAGATGAAATCCGTCGGCCGCAAGAACTCCGTCGTTATGCAACCACGTTTTACTTTTTTTTTACTTCAAATGTCGCTTTCATTGTTCGCACTTATTTTTTAACCAAAGGTACATTAAAACAAGATTATGTTCATTTAAATGAACTACGGTGGTTGCGAGCAGTCTAGACAAGGAGGTATCGCCATCTATCAATACGAGCGCCAATCGCGTGCCGCAAATTGGTCGTCTGCGTCACCGCCCGCCGTTGACCCTGCAAGTTTTTTGGTCCTATTTTTTCGGAAAAAGGGAGCCACGCTTTGGTAATTTTACATGGTAAAACCGACAAGTGAAATACATCTTTGATGAAAAGTTTAGATTGCTACGTGCAGGCGTCGATATTTATGGTTCATTTTAGATCGAGCCTGGTGACTTGGGACACCCTATGATATGCATGTACTGCAGCAAGCAACACGAGCAACATGCTTTGACCTCTAACTGGAACTATTGCGGGCATCTTGAAACCGGTAGGAAATGTTGATTTCATGAAGCTTACAAAAATGATGATCTTACTTAAATGCCATAAGGCCCGTTCGCACACTTGCGGCTTGTTCGGACCGTAAGCATTCAAAGCTCTTCAAAATTCTTATAAATTCTTATAACTCACAGGTGCCATCTATCGGGTTGGCGTGGAACAATTAACGGTCCCCTATAATCTTTTTTTTCGCGGATTAATATTTTTGCATGAAAAACGTTTGTCAGTGTTATAAACGACCACCTTATGTAGGTAGACGTACATTTCATCTTGCAAATACCGCGAAATTTTTGTTGTAGCGAAATGCAGCCCCAGCATCACCACATAAATGGCGCCAGCGTGACAGCGTGCCAGTGTGGTCTCAAGTTTTCTCTCGTCGTAAGAGATTTTAAAAGGTTTTAATGCATTCGGTTCTAAGGAGTTGCAAGTGTGTGAACGGGCATTTAAACACAAGCCCTATTGAAATTATGTGGCATAAAAAAAAATTCGGCATAGTATACACCTCACAGCATCTGGGTCAGTGACCTCAGTAGTTTCTTTTTATTTGATTTTTGGGGGGAAGTTTTCGAAGAAACCAATTTGTAATTGCGCTATTTATGTGTATAATGATCGAAGCTCATTCAAAAGCATCAGTTCTTCAAAATGCGAACCGAAACCCTTCTCTGCCACCTTATCAAGGCTGTGAAGGCATCTCGTTCGTACTACCTCATAACGTACTTAGGACGCTTGGTTACCCCTCATAAGCCTCGGGACCCACGAGTATTTACCTACATCATGGCGCATAAACATTTGCTCTAAAGATCTTTCTTCCCATTGGAACGACATTCAGGCTAAAAAACGTGCACCCCCCCCCCCCCCCCGTCCCCCTTCCCGTCGCGGGTTTGAAATGGAAATGAAGTGTTCGAGGGTTCAGTTTTATACAAACATAGCTCATATAATTCAGTCCAGCAAAGGGCAAAAGACTGGGTATTTCTGACGCGAAACTGAAAACTGTTACAAAGCACTTACATTACGATAAGCCTGTCTGCAGGCCTCTCTGCTTGGGTTTCAAACATCCCAACTAGCATCCGTAAACCCATTTTTTACCACTGGCCATCACTAGGTAACCGTAGGGAGGTGGCGCTAGTGACCGATATATTAAGTTCTGGAGGCAAATGTGAAATCGACTGAGAGCTCAGAAGATTACAAGACCAAAAAAAGTTTTGAGTAAAGTTGTATTCTCCACTGGGACATCGAGCATATCACATACACGCTTACGTTTTTCTCTGTGCCGCAACCCATAAACGTTGCTTGGAGGACGACTTACTGTCAAGTTCAGTGTCCCGTTCTTCGTCATGGTCGTCTTTGCAATAACTGAGAAGTTCCTGGGACAGTGAGTCGACAACAGGCATCATCATGGCAGTGATGGCTATGTTGTTGATCCACATGGAGAGGAACATGGAGATGGCCATCAGCCCGAAAACAAGCCTGCAGATTTGCACCAAAAACATTCATTGGGTCACCATCAGCCGCCTACTATATAGCCCGCACTGCCCTGCTTGTTTAAAAAGTTGTACTAAACGTCAGTTCTAGCTTACAATCAGATAGAAACCACAGTTAATCTCGTCCTAAGAAAACACAAAACCTATATATACGATATCTAACTCGTTTGCGGACCTTTCGGATCGTTGATTAATTTGTCAACCGTATTTAATTTAGAGATGTCCTAAGTTTATATCTCCACTTCCAGACCAGAAACAAGCGCCCAGAAGAATATTGGTTTCTTTCAAGGTGCCGCTCACAGCATGAATGACTTTTTTCATAAACAAAAATGTTCGGCTAGTTTCTATAAAGGCAAGGAACAAACACAGGTGACTGCTGTACATATGAATTCTATAGATCAACGTGTTATTGATAAAAAAGCGTTTGGTCACGTAATAATTGTAAGTATTGAGCGTGCAGAGAGCCAAACTTAGCGTGCTACACTGCCCAAACTCCTGGCGCGAGCGCGCAACTTTATAGGGCGCGCCATTAACAGGAAAGCCTGTGCAGGCAAAAAACTAGATAATGCCAAAAGCCCACGCACCTGTCGAATGTCCACAGCTTTTCTGTGAAATGCCTTAAAAGCTCTGCCACCGTAAAGCGACCTCGAAGGTAGGAGTATGTGTATAATGTTCCTAGATCTTAAATATAATATAATAAATGATATATCTTTATATCTCGAATCAAGCAACTTGCACGGAGCTTAGACGTTGTCATCGTAAGTTGAAAACCAGTGGAAATACAGCATAATTTAACGAGAAATATTAGCAGCAAATTCTGATGAAAATGATGTGAGCATATTTTGCTTTATCCTTGATAAGCTGACAAAAAGACCGTGGTTTTACTTTTTGTAAAAGTTCCTTGAGAACTAAATACTGTAATATACAAAAAATACTGTGAAATGATGACGCGTAAACATCATTTTTAACAATCTGCCTTGACATACTGTTCGTGTTGTGTTACATGCCAAATGGATACACTTTTTTAGCAAACATTCGACGTTCAATTTGAAGAAACATATTTATGAGTCCGTCGCTTGGTCAGTATTACAGCTTAGCTTCTGGATCTGTCAAATAAATCTCATAGTCGTAGCGAACCAAGGACATTTGAACAAGAGAGGAAAAAATTTTAAATTGTGGCAGCCGCTTCAATGTTTAGGATTATTAATAATATTAACGATTATCGAATGTTTGTGTAATACTGTAGTTGACTTGATTTGGAAACGTTATAAAAGGCAGATTTATTTTCAGCTAAAGCATCTTTAAACAAAAAACATGAATTTTGGGGAGGTGCATTCTTAAAACATTAAATTTAAAACAAGAAATCGGTTGGATGCAGCATAGTGTCAGCGCACATAAAATAAAATATGTTATGTCTCGTACTCTGGTCCGTCTGTTGTCTTTATTGTTCCCTGACATTTTAGGCGTTAAACTGGCATATACTAATTTTATTTATTTATCGCGACATCTGTCTTTTTTTTTGTGAAAACGTAAGCTTTGATCCAAATAATCTACTCAAATCTTTATCGCTTATAGGGCATAAAAACTATTTACAAGGCATGACCGCCTACTACGCCAAAGCGTTTTTGAAAAAAAAAAAGTGAAGCTCTGATACCTTATAGCATAGCCCTTTCTTGTGTAAAGTGACACGACAAACACCAATGCACGTTTTAAATAAAAAAGATAAATAGCTCATTCCTAGGAACTGATCACTACTTAAACCCACTGAGGCAAATCCCTAGCCGGAAAGAACAGTTCAATATTTTCCGACAATATTGAAGGAGAGTTTTTATTCCGTGTCTGCACTAAATACAGCCATTTATAACATGATTACTTCATTATAATAATTGATAACCGACTTCATAAGTAACATCAGAAGGGGTACACGAAATGAACATTAGTCAGTTAGCGGTACACATTATTTCGACTTTTATATTTTATCAATACAAGTAGGTGATTGGTATTACCGCAATAGTACGTACAATCAAACCAAAACAGAATAGGGTCGTCATCTTCATTCTTATGTCTGTTTTTTTTTTTCGTAGATCTCTAGAAACTTACTTAATCTGGTGTTCCACTAAAATGAAAAAAAAAGAAAATTATTTTTGAATCTGCTTGCAGCGTGAGCGACGGCATTTGTACAAGTAAACTACCAAGAACCAGAACAGTTCTCATCCTAGGAAGGGTCAAGATATTCCACGACTCAATATCCTTTCTTTAAATACATAGAATCACTGAAAATTGGTACAGTATTATGTAAAAAAATATAATATTCACGATACTGACATTTTTACTCCAGTGCCGAGAAGGCAGAGGGCGCCTAATGCAATCCGCTGATGAAGGCAGGACTCCTCGATAGCGATGGCCATGATGAGGGTTCCCAAAAACGTTACAATCATCTCCTGTGCAAATGATATATCACACAATCATTGGCGATGCACATCTCTACGTGAGTTTGAATGTTGCTCAACGGGATTACGTAGACCCTTATATAAACTCTTAAAAAAGAAATGCAATCTCATTCAGTCTTGTATCCGATATTTGTTGGTAGTACGTTGAATTCACGAAACGTGCTTGTTACAGTCCATTGTTTTTAGTTCCAAACTCGTCAGCTTTGACCTTAATATAGTGAAAATAATCGATCGCCACACCATCCACATGTTATTGAAAGCATAACACAAATATTGCCTAGTTTTAAGTGACATTAGCAGACAATCAGTAAACAATATTAATAGACCCTTTACGAAAGTCATTCTACCCACCTTGTGCAGAGCCAGACCCGACGCTCTAATGGCGGAACTACACTGTTTCTCCACACCGGAAAAATCGAACGTCTTCGAAAGCATAGAGCAGAAAAAGGAAAAGATGTTGGTCCTTTCACGTCACCTTCGATGCACGGAATCGAGGGTGTTTGATTTAGCCGCGCATGATCTCCTATCACCGCCATTAGAGCGGCAATAATGGAGCTTTTTATACTGCCACAAGAGGACTCTGACTTTTGAAAAGGGTCTATTCCATTCGCTGGTGCAAAAATATATATTTCTACGTTTCAACGCCATTTAAGATTAACATTTCAACACATCTCGCCACGACCGTACAGCACTTACAATAAAATCTTGCAATGCTTTCTTTTTTTTTTCAGTATGAATATTATTTGAACATATTTGGGCTGAGGAAACCGGATGAAAAGCTTCCAATATGAAGCTTGACTAGATACGGTGTTCCTGCACATCCAAAACGCAACACAATAAAATAAGACAAAAATACTACAACCTAAACAAAAACAGTTGACACATTTTTAGTTAAGGGGATACTGAACCGAAATTTGGAGCTCACAAAACAAGGCTGGAGTGATAGGCGGGACGCTGCAAAAGCCAAGAACATCGCACATAGAGCGATAGCAAACAGATGGCCGTATTTTAGGAAAAGAAGTTCGCAATGGAACGCGGCCGAGGAGACTGACAGGACACGTGACGTCACGAATCTCATTCCCACTCCTCTTCGCTCCGTCCTTTCGAGCTGATGAACTGAAGCCAAAAGGAGAGAAGCGGGGCCGCCGCCCCTCATTCTCAACTGTTCCCGGAGGATCGTGACGTCGTAGCCTTCGCTTGATAATGCAATTATTTTACAGCGGAGCTGTTAAGGGCTAGTTTCCCCAGGATCCTGCGCCCCGCAAAGAAATTAAGACACCGAACTCTGGACACCTACCACCATCTGTGTGTGACGGCGGCAAGCCACGTATCTGGTTGCCGCCGTCGCTCATAGATGGCGGCAGCCTTTCCACTTTGGCTTACCGACTTGTGGCCGGCCATTACCTTCCATTGTACAGCTACGCTGGTCTTCCTTCTTCACCAGAGTGGAAAGGCTGAAAGTTATTTTTTCATATATAGAACCATTTGTTTAATATATCGACATATGAGTGATGTTTTGGAGTTCCTAGCGTACCGTTCTACGCTTCTGCCGCCTTATTTTGCGAAATCCAGATTTCGGTTCAGCATCCCTTTAAACCATAAATATCAAAGAGATCGTAAACAAAGTTGTTAGGCATGTACACGTTATGAACAAAGAATTGAAATGCACGATTAGTACGAAAATGACGAACGTTCCAAAATTTCTGGCGTCGGATACTGAATATAACGCGCGTTTAGTTAAGTTTGAAATATGATACAAGAAAATCCGTACACTCCACAATTGAAAATAAATACAAACATAATAAGCAATAGTTGAAGACACGGGCAGCTTCCATAGTATTGTGATTAGAAAATAATGGTTCGACATGAGTGTCGTAGGAAATATTTTCAATGAAACTCAGTACTTTCTCTTCGATTATCCCAATTATTTTGCCAGTTTATAAACCAAGTGTTCCCCGTGACCATTCCATTCCATATGTGTACCGAAACAAATACACCTAGGGTTTTGTGCTGGCTTAAAATTTTATTCTGCAGGTACTCATGTTAGAGTATAATTTTAACAGTTTCTATTTATAGACCTATACACAATAGCTTTTGACTTAGTAGAATTTATTTACATACTTGTTTTCTCCTCTTAAAAGGAATTTCGTCAAAGGCAGCATTTCCGTAGCTATAAGTTCATTCACATCTGTCGCAGACAAAAAAAAAGTACTAGTGTCGTCAGCATATGTGATAACACGTGATTGTTAGCCAATATTGACTATATCATAATATAAACATTAAATGCCAGTGGGTCAAGTATACTGCCCTGAGGCACACCAGAGTTCATGAGTCGAAAAGATGAAACACCATTATTCACTAAGACACACTGCTTGTGCTGTTCTAAATACGAATGAATAAGTGATAAAGACGTCCTGCGCACACCACATTATGAGAGTATAACAAGGACCGTAGTATGATTAAGACAAGGGAAACTTTATTGAGGTCAATTTAAAGTCCTGGCGTCAACTGTTTCTGATCTACGTTATATATTATAAATTTCTTTTGCTGTATTAGAACGTATTCTGTACTTCTCCTTGCGAAACCTAAACTGAGAATGCGATACATTAATCGCTGTAGATGTGCCGTTGAAACTTGCAAGAAAATATGTGAAAAGCAAAACGGATAAAAATCCCTAGTAGCGGTGTTTGTGGAGAATAACATAGAGGACGAAAACAGGACGACACGTTTCTCCGTGTCGTCCTGTTTTCGTCCTCTATGTTATTCTCCACAAACACCGTAACTTAACCAGCACGCTCCATTTCCACGAGAATCCCAAGTAGCACGACAAAAAATGCCTAACTTTACACAAGTTTAGAATTGTAGGGGCCGCGCTTGGGACTAATACGGTTTTGCACCAAGGCGTTAGATAGTGCTCGCTTAATTTCCTTTTCTGGTTTTAAGTATTTTTATGGCTCGCGATTAATTTGCAAAGTGTCATACTTGAGACAGATATGCCATGTATAATACGAAGAAGCAGTAGTGAAGCAAAAATCGAGCACTTCCGCAATTTAGTTCCAAAGCTGTCACATGAAAACCGAGCACCCAAAAATGGAGCCCAACTCTGGCTCTTGTTTGGTGATTTTGGCCCGAAGATGCTAGATGAGGTCTAAGCTACCAGCAGCAAGGCCCGTCTTTCGCCCTTGTCTGGCGAATTAGGGCCAGGATACCCAGTGTCTGGTCAAGGAAGGTCAGGTTCGGCTCTTCCTTGCTTCTTCGGGCTTTTTAAGCCTTTAAATACCTATTCAATAACCAAATTGTGGCCCAAAGAACTGTGCTACATTGGATCCCACTGACGTATCCCCTCAGCCTGCGAAATAGAAATCTTAGCCTCATTATTTTTATTATTATAGTTAATTTAAACCAGTTGTATAAAACAATAGCTAATTGTTTTTTTACGGCGACGCCAACGCTCTACATGTCCAAGATGATTCCAGAATGCTGGACTCACGTTCATATAAAGCAGGCATGTCTTCTCGGTGGACAGGACTCCCAGCATGGGAAGCAGCACGACGGGAATGAGCGACGTGGCACCGATGGGAATCGGCTCCACGATCCAGTACACGGCGATGACAGCCACGACGTAGGCGCACCGGAATTTCTGCAACCGTCGGAAGATGGGCAGGCCTTTGGAGTCACAACCTTCCAGGCGCTGACAGCTTAAGCAACACAGTGACAGCGGTTTTGTGTGAAGAAGAAAAAATGAGCGTAAACATAATAACCTTGCGTTTCTTAAGCTATCATTAGGGAGTTTTAGGGAACCGTTTTTGCGAGTCTTCTGTGGAAGCGCATGCGCAGTTCGTACCGGAGGGCCCATTGTACCATATCGGATGGGCAAAAACGGCTTCCTAAAACTCCCTATTAACCATAGGTGATATTATCAAGCAGGAGCCTTAATTCAGCCATGCCTGAAAGACCTTAAAGAAGGGCTGCTTTTTTGTCACAGACCATAAGTACAATAACTTGTCACGCTCTAGATGCAACGCCAAAGGTTAGACGTACATACGACACTCCGCGCGCGGTGCCACGTTTCGTCAGGCATGCTACATATGTTAAGCAGCATCCTTCTATCTGGATACCAGGAGCTTCTCCTTGTATCCAGACAAAAAAAAATCTCGCGACGATCAACGAACACAATAAATCTTTAAAAAATTATACAAAATATTCATTGCATAGTCAATCCTTTAATTTCTGAATGGTCACTTGCGTTGTCCGTACCTTCCGCACCATTGGAGTTTGAATGGTTGTAGTCTAAAGCGTGGCCGCAGATACCTCATAGTAAAAAGTTTTGTGAACATTTTGCCTTCCCATTTAGCCTTAGCATAGCGAAACATTTTATGTAGCAAAACAAATGTGATTTATTTCAGGTTTAAATAAACCACCTCAGTTCCTATTAAGAATATCTTCTTCGTGTGTTTTATGACAACTGTTTCGCACACCTAATGAAATAGTCGACTTGTAATGAGATTTATAACATTCCTCGCTAAGTAACTTTTCATTATATTTATTCCTTGCAAATAAACACACAGAAACTGCGATATTTTACGGTTCTTGCGAAGCATCGTTCTCTGCTTGACCTTGGTAATATTTTATGAAAACTTTCGTCAGCTGTAAATTGCATATTAGCGCGTTTTCTGTGTATCTTTATTGTTGCCACTGTTTTCGCATTTAAGAACGCAGACACCATCGACTCGCAGTAATCGTATCACGTATACACTGTAGTGTAATAATTACTTGCCTGAAAGCAGGATATTGCTTTGGGAATTAATGGGGATAAGTATGGGATCCTCGTACTACGAAACTGTTGTCAGCTCTTGGTTGCACCTCCAAGTTATCTTCGAGTGCTTGTTGTCATTGTGTGTATTTTTGTGCGCTTATCGTTGCTGGTGGGTCGTTTCGCTATTGGCAGTTTAAAGAGTCTTTGTTGCATGTGTAACTGTTAAAACACTGAAAATCTAGCTAATCTGGTATACAGATGCATTCTCGACATGTATAGAAAACGCAAATTACAGCAATTAATTTCCTGGTTTATTTCCAGATTGTTTCGAAGTACTAGCGTTTTTAACCGAATACTAAAGCAATTCGGAACAGAAATGCCTTAGAACACTATCAGAGCAAAATGTCGTTTTTCACCTTCAATTTAAACCTCTCTGTGTCATCTTGCCATTTCATCACTGGGGCCATTATCAACATGCAATGTATCATTAATAATTCACATTCACTAACTGGGCTCTTTAGTTGTATGTGATCATGGTGTGATAAAGCTGGTTCTACAATTGAATACAAAAAGGTATGGTCCTGACGACATTTCAAGCGCTTTTCTTGTCTAACTTTCTTTTTGGACAAGTCGTTACCTTCCGAAACTTTTACAAAAATTTATGTCAACCACCACAGTACCTTCGTCATAAAAACTTTCAAAAGCCGTTCCATTTTTTTTAAATCTTAAAACGCTCCTTCGTTGTCCAACTACCGACCAATTTCTCTAACATCTCATGTGTGCAAATTATTGGAACATATTGTCTACAAACATGTCATGAAATACCTAGAAACTAACAACAACTCTTTGTAATTTACAGCATGGTTTTTGAAGGGGATACAGTGCACATTTGACAACTAATCAAATTCACTCCCGATATCACCCAGTCTCTCGACGTTGTTAACCAAGTGTCACAATATGCATAATATGCTAAAAATCATGGTTATTTGTCCATAGCTTGTTTTCCTTTTCATTTCTCGCAGTATGTGTTTTTTAACTCGTCCAAGTCTTCTATGTACGATCTGCCAGCAGGTGTTCCGCAAGGCTTAGTTCTTGGTCTACTTCTCTTTTTGCTTTGCATTCATGATTTCCCTCGTAACATCCTCACAAATATACGTCATTACATTGACGACTGCATTCTGTATAACAAGGTAACTGCCCCGAAAATCACTCTTTCCTTAAGCTTTCTTTTTTTTTTTTTTTTGCGAACTTCTGCAAATGATGTAACACCTAGCAAATCAGTCTAAACTTTTCTAAAACCGTCCTCCTGTTTTTCTTTTTAAGAGTTTATTATCTTCCTTGTTCACATATTCATTTAACGGTTTCTCAATGCAAAGAGTATTCATTTATTTATGTATTTATTTAAAATACCCTCAAGGCCATTGGCATTACAGAGGGGAGTGGGGGTTAGTGGCAGTAGTACACTTCGCAGCTCAATCTGAGCAGTATAGATTATTTATGGCAGTCCTAAATAAATGGTCAGGAACAATTGTTGCGATAGATGCGGGAAGGTGGTTCCAATCCGCTGAAGTTTTCGGAATGAATGACTCTTGGAATGCATTAGTGTTGCATTTTAGAATGTCTACTTTATACATATGATCAATGCGAGTTGAAATATAAGAAGGTTGATTCAGCAGTCGGTTGTGAAGTAATGAGTTACCTCCGGCGTCCTTGAATGCGAACATCTTGAATTTCTCTTCACGCGCGATATGCCTTGGTCTAAACAAATCGAATAAACCTGTAGCAAAGCGCTAAAAAATCTCGCTTACCTCCGGCGTCCTTTACGTGAGATACTAAATTCTGAGATCAAAAATGCTAATCCGCCCTATCAGCGAGTGCGGGTCAATCATTTGGGATTAATTTAAACAGTCAGATAATAACAAACGCAAGTTAATTTAGACGAAACCAATACGTTTAATTTTTAGGTGTTATGACACATTTATCACCACCTCTAACCTTACCACATTATGCCTGATCCCTCTTTACACGCGGCGTCGCATAGAACGTGTGAAGTTGCTATACCTTTAGAACACAGCTCTTAGGCTTTACATTCAACTTCAAATCAACGACGGATGAAAAAGAAGTTGAAACGAGAGCCGACGATGGCTCCCGACGATGATGATGTCTCCTGAATGCTATGGACGAAGATGTCGTTGGAAGTAGCGCTACGGATGAAGAGAAGGACAAAGAAAGCGTTTGGTTGCTGGTAGCTAGTCGGATTGTTCTTAGGCTGCACTGATGATGTCTCCCGCAAAAGACACGAAACGTTTACTTATAAATTTTTGATATTGTTATATAAGTCGGAGGTATTTGTTTTTTTTAACCCTAGGCGCCCGTTCCTGACTTGAGCGGCGTCGCCGTCGGCGTAACCGCGCGTTGCATTATGGGACGTTTCCCAAAATGATGTCACACGTGACGTCACGTGTGACATCACGAGGGAAAAATGTTTTAGCTAAATATTGCAGGAAACTTTTCTGATAATTTTAGCGGGAAAAATGTTCAGCTAAATATAGCGGGGAACTTTTCCCGCTTAATTTAGCGGGGATATTTTTCCGCTAAATTTATCGGGTAAATTTTGCCCTTTTTTCATTACTACCAGCGCTTCAGTCCAGGCAGTCATTGCCTCGACTAGAGCGCCGCTGTTAACGATGTTAATGTATGGAACGTCTCGTCCATGTTCAATTAAATGCTGTTTCTTGTTGTTGAAACCGCTGGCTCCGTGTTATACTTCTTAGTCGGGTATACAGCACCGCAAACCGACCAGAAACCTTTAAAATCATTTTTTTTTTAGAAATGACATTAGAGAAAACATTTACCTACCCGTATGATCAGTTATTGCTGAACTGATCATTGAGGACATGCGTGCCTTAAAAATGGCGGGTATAAAAGGCTGGAGGACAGCCAACAAAGTAAGTAGCCGATGTAGCGCGCGTTCATATCAGTGTTTTCTTGTGCTCTGTGCATTTGACCCTTGTACATGATATGTTCAGCCAGTTTATGAGGCGTACAACGTGTGTATAATAAAAATTACAGAAGAGCACTCAAGAATGCTTACGTGTAGGAAGGCGAAAGCAGTATGGTCTAGGCGGGAGAAATGACTTCCAGTAATGTTTCTGAACATATTAAAGTTTAGGACGACTTATAGGACGACGTCGACGACAAAGTCCTAGAGACCCACGCCAAGTACGGCGTCTAGGACGAACTCTAGGGCGACGTCAAGGAAGGCGTCTAGGACGACGCCGAGGACGATATCTCAGACGGCCTCAAGGACAACGTCTAGGATGACGTCGAAAACGACGTCAAGAACGGCGTCGAGGATGACGTCCTAGAGGGCGACGTCAAGAACGACGTCTAGCACGGCTTCTAGGACGACCTCTACGACGAATTTAAGGTCGACGTCGAGAACAACGCCTAGAGTATGACGTCTAGGACGACGTCGAGAACGACGCCTAGAGGAGCACACTTAAAGGAACCCGCAACAACTTTTTTACCGTTTCTTTTTTTTTATTTGCACCGAACTTGAGCGCTCTGAACGTAGTAACTTAGTGCAACTTTTCTTTTCTCGAAATTCGCTTTATTTTAAAAACTATAGGCATAATAAAATTACAAAAACAAGCCAAAATAACCACCTTCAGGACGTCATTGGTCCTCTGTCCCCCCTTTTCCCGCGCCGGAGGTTCCCCCTTGCCACGGTGACTGGGAAATGTGGGAAGGGAGGGGAAGACTGGGAAAGGTGACTGAGGAGAGAAGCTGCCCGGGAACGGGGCAGCTCTTTCTCCTTGGCTGACCAAGGCCAACAGCGTAACGATTTTGCCCTATGCCGCGCGTTCGACACCACGGGGCGT